TAACCTCCTAACTCCTGTCCTCCTAATCCATGCCTTTGTTATCACTAAATCTGACTATTCCACTGTGATTGAGGTTGACTTCCCACATTCTGCTCTCTGCAACCGTGAGATCATCAGAAGCCTCTGCTGATAGAGACCTTGCTTGTGCTGTGTCCCTGTGCTCATTAACCTACACAGGGTCCTCGTTAAACAACATGTTAACTTTAAAATCCTCTCCCTTGTTTTCAAACTACTTGCTGACCTCACCCTTCTAACATCCTCTAGCCCCACAACTCTGAGATTGCAGGGCTGCTGAAATTCTGGTATCCCTGATTTTAAACACTCGGCCATTGAATTGAGTTGAATTAGCTTTATTGTCACAAGTACTGACATGAGTACAGTGAAAAGTTTACAAGTCCCCACTTACTGTGCCATCTCAGGTACCAGGTACAGAATGTTAGGTACAAAGCAGAAAAATAAAGCTAACAAAGCTTTAAGTTAAACATTACAGTCCTTCTTACTAAAAGGTAGAGAAATAAACAAACACTGTCAACAGTTCAACACCACAGTCCATAGCCATGCTGGGCTCGCACTCCTCACAAGGGTCTGATCTCCCCTGGTTCGGGATCGGCTCCCCCCCCCCCCCCGACTCCAGGCAGCCTGCTCTTGCTGCCTTGCAAACTGTTCCTGCTACCGCTGCCCTGGGCTGCCTGCTCGCACTCTCCCTGTTGACCCTCTCCAAGCTGCCTGCTCACACTCTCCCTGCCGACCGCCCCGGGCTACCTGCTCGCACTCTCCCTGTTGACCCCCCCGAGCTGCCTGCTCGCACTCTCCCTGCCGCCCCCCCCGAGTTGCCAGCTCACAGTCTCCCTGCCGACCCCCCCCTTCCCCCGAGGCTGCCTGCTCACGCTCTCTCTGCCAGCAATGCCGCTGCCTTTCGCCATCATTGATGGTGAAGACCGGGTGAAGGAAGCACTCAGACAGTCAGTACCATTTACATTTTTTAAAAATAAAGTGAGTATAATGGAGTAAAACAATGGTGTGTCTAATTAGAATCCATCAAGGATGTCAGGATATGTGATGTCACAGCCACAACATGATGGAGCTTCTGGATGCCGACTTGGTCCAGAATAAACATAACTGTGATATCGTTTTAAAGTTTGAGCAGCTTTAGAGCTGGAAACTGAACTACAGATGTTGTGATGCATGAGGGAGGAGGAAAGTTACCTGCATCTTGTTGTACCAGGAGGCATTCATGCCTCTTAGGGTAGAGTTTTCTGATTTGGTCGGGGTACAGGGTCAGGCCGTGTGACTGATATTGGGGTAAGTGAAGCTGAAAGTTCTCATAGTCTCAGAGGACAATAGGCTGAGCTTTCACTAGAGTTTAAGCTGAGGGTCAACACATCTCTGTTAGGGGCAAGGTTGAAAATGTAGGGCCTTCATGGTGACTGCAGGAGCTGAACCTGCACTGCTGCTGTCATTCAGCAACATGAACCAGTTGTTAACTGACCCCTGGCTGGCTGGTCAGGGAGCCAGAGGGCAAGAGTGATGGAGTCTTGGTCTTTGCAATTGTCCAATAGGTTTGAGGTTTTCTCTGCTCGTTTGTATGAGAGTGGGGGGCTGCAGGGTGGATGAGCTAACAGACAGAGTAGGTGAACTGAGAGTACAAATAGAAATAATTCAGTACATTCTGGTAGCCATTATAGGGATATAGCTGCAGGATGACATGGATTGGGACCTGAATGGGTACACGACATTTAGGAAGGTCAGGAAGCTAGGAAAAGGTGGAGTGTTAACTCTTGTTAGTTCATGATGGTATTTGCACAATGGAAAGGCATCATCTAAGTCTAGGAAGCCAATGTGTGGAAGCTGTTTGGTATAAACAAGAAATGATAAAATCTAAGAGTCACTCATGGAAGTGGTGTACAAGCCAAATACATCAGTTGTGATCATCTTAAATGGTGGAGCAGAATTGAGGGGCTGTATGGTCTATTTCTGTTGCTAATTCATAGGTTCATAACAGTTACTGCAAGGCAAGGTGGAACATGAAAGGAATGGCGATAATCATGAAAGATTTTATTCAAAAGCTAGACTGGAAGTGTCAGATGGGCAAAGGTAGTCTAGATTTGGAATTGAGAGAAAGTTTTTGCGATAATTTCTTTAGAATAGCATGTTCTGGAGCCACTCAGACAGCAGACTATGTTTTATGCAGCTAGATAGGGTTAAGTAATTACCTCATGGTGAAGGTGCTGAAGGTGGCAGTGACCTTAATATGAATGAATTTTATTTGACTTTGAGGGAGGGAGGAGTGGGTCTGAGACACTCTTTTCAACTTAAATAATGTAATTGTAAGGGCATGATTGCAAATGACTTTGAAGGACAAAACAACAGAGATGCAGTGGCAGACATTTTAGGGGATATTTCAGAACACTCAAAATAAGAACATTCCAATGACTCAAAATTCTAATGGATAGACACCATCTGTGGCTAACTAGAAAGGTTAGAAATAGTACCAAATGTAATGTGAAAACAATTGTGCAAAGCCAAGTGGCAGGTCAGAAGATTGGGGTTGGGCAGGATCTTTTTAAAAATGAGCAAAGAATGATTAAAAAATTAGTATGGTTGGAATATTGAGAGTGAGAGAGAAAGCTAGCCAGGAATATAAAAGCAGATAGTATAGGTAACTTCTACAGATATTTTCAAAGGCAAAGCATTAACAAAATGAGTGTCAATCCTATAAAAAGTGAATTTGAAGAATTGATAAAGGTTTAAAACAGAACGTTGGCAGGTGAATTAAACAAGAATTTACATCAGCCTTCATTATAGAGGATACAATGAACACCGCAGAAGTGGTGATGAAATAGATAAATGGAAAGGAGGTATAAATTTAGGCGTAGCACATTTACCAGTAATTAGTACTGAATAAATTGTTGGGACTGTGGGCTGACAGGTGCCTGGGTCCATGGACTTCATCCGAGGATCTTAAAAGAAGTGGCTGGTGAGATAATTGATGTATTGGTTTTAATTTTCCAAAACTCCCTTGATTCGGGGAAGGTTCCATTAGATTGGAAGATAACAAGTAGAATTCATTTATTGAAATAGGGAGGGAGATAGAAAGCATGTAACTACACACCAGTTGGCCTAATATTTGTCATAGTGAAAATGTTAGAAGCTATTATTGTGTCAAGGAGGCCACTTGGATAAGCTCAAGGTAATCAGGCAGAATCAGTGTTGTATTGTGAAAGGGAAATCATGTTTAACCAATCTATTGGAGTTGTTTGAGAGGGTAACAAGTACAATGGATAAAGGGAAACTGGTGGATGTTTTCTACCTAGATTTCCAAAAGACATTTGATAGAGTGCCACATCAAAGGTTATTAAGGAAAATAAAAGCTCATAATAATTGACTAGCACGGATAGAAAATTGGCTGGCTAACAGGAAACAGAGATTAGGTGTAAAGGTCTCTGTTTAAGATTGACAAGGCGTAATGAGTGGTGTGCCACAGGGATTGGTGGTGGGGCTTCAACCTTTTACAATTTATATAAATGTCTTGCATAACAGTACAGTATGGTCAGCAGAATTGCTGATGACACAAAGATAGGTCAGGAAGTGAGTTGCTATGAGGATGCCAAGAGACTACACAATGATGTAGAAGAACAAAATACTGTGGATGCTGTGAACCTGAATAAAAACAGAAAATGCTAGAGAAATTCAGCAGGTCTGGCATATCTGTGGAGTGAGAAACGGAGTAAACGTTTCAAGTCTGATATGACTCCTCTGAACCCTGAGGTTATCGGGGTAGATAGGGATATGGATCTGAGATAGTAATCAGATGAACTATGATCTTATTAAATGGCACAGCAGGCTTGAGGACGCATGTGGCCTATTCCTGCTTCTTACCTGTTTGCATGTTCAGTTGCCTATGCCTCAAACTCTGGAATAACCTCCCTCCAACCTCTGTGCCGGGACTCTTCCTTTAAATCGCTCTTTTTAATCTGATTGAATATCTCCCTTATGTGGCTGTGGTGTCCTGGTTTGTTTTATTATCCTCCTGTGAAGCACCTCGGAATATTTCGGTATGTTAAAGGTGCTGATTTCAGTATATTAATGATATAGATACTGATTAGTTTCTTTCATCATTTTTGGTTATTAGGAATCAAATATGGAGTGGAGTACAATGTGGAAAAATGTGAAATTGTTCTTTTGTTGTCTCGTCCAAAATGAACAGGATATTGCTTAAATAGGCAATAAACTGCAGAAAGTTGCAGCACAAAGGGACTTGGGGGTACTTGAGACCGAAACACTGAAATCTAATACAGAGGGGCAGCAGGTAACCAAGAACGCTATTGAAATGTTGGCTCTTATTTTAACGGGTTTGGAATATAGGTGTAGGGAAGTCTTATTACAACTATACAAGGTGGTGGTGAGACCACATCTGGAGTACTGTGAGCAGTTTTGGTCCTCTTATTTAAGGAAGGATATCATTTTATTGGAGGCAGTTCAGAGAAGGTTTTCTAAGATGATCCCCAGTATGGAGGGATAGTGTTGTGAGCAAATGCTGAACAAGTTGGGATTCTACTAATTGGAGTTTAGAAGAATGAGAGGTGATCTCCTTAAAACATGTAGGATTATTAAGGGGCTTGACAGTGTAAATGCTGAGAGGATGTTTCCCCTCATGGGAGAATCTTGGACCAGAGGGCATAGTCTCAGAATAAAGGGGCACTAATGTAAGACTGACATGAGGTGGAATTGCATCTCTGAGTGAAACAAGGGGCTTTGGGATTTGTACACAGAACAGCAGATATCTAGGAGTGAGTTACAGGCTGGAATCTGATTAAGGGGGTTGGGGGTTTATATATCGAATTACATATACAAGTGAGTGAGTTACAGACTGGAATCTAATTGACGGGTTTGGGGTGATTTATATATAGAATAGCGTATATGGGAATGAGTTGAATGCCGGACTCCAATTGAGGGATTTGGGTTGTTTATATATAAAATAACATACTCGATTTATTTTCAGATTGGAATCTAATCGATGGGTTTGGGATGGGACTAGGGTTTTTTTAAATTGTACAACAGCTAGGAATGAATAACGGACTGGAATCAAATCGAGGGATTTGGGTGGCTCTTATACAGAATAACAGATACCCATGAGTGAATTACAGCATGAATCTGGTTGAGGAGTTCATGTAGAAAGACAGAGCAAGTTAAATGTTCACATCTAATTGAGATCAGTACCTGATTGTTATCACATCAATGTCCGTTTTCTGAACTCTGGTTTAAAAAAAACTGCCTTGAAATGGGGCTGCAGCTTTTGGTTTGAAGATATGGCACATACTGTTTGTTTTATGTGACAATGGTAATCAGTTTTTGGCTCCTTTTCCAGGCTTCAAAAATGGCCAGAGTGGCTGTTGACTGACTTGGTGTGTTTGTGTGTGATGTTTGCTGGGAAGGTTTCACCAGTTGAATAAACCTTGCCTCACTTTGCCCTGTCCTGTGGATGGTTCGTGCCTTGACGTTGTGATCGACAGTGCCTGTAGAAGGTTCAAGCTGAATTTCTGTCACTCATTGGAGCATTGCTAGTTTGTATTTAAAGTTGCCCTGTTTGGTATAGTTTTGCTTTAACGTTGGGAAGTTATTAGGACTGACAAGTTCCAGTTGGAAGTTTTTTAGATTCACTGTAAGGTTGTTTTATGGCAGCGCTTTACCATCCAGATTGGTACCATTTTTGTGCAACCTTTCCTTCTGAGAGATGTGACTGCTCTTGCTGATGCATCGCTGCCTGAAATCAGCAGCAGGGACCCGCTCCATCTGTTCTCCTCTCTGCGCGCACACATACACAGCCATAGCCCCAGACCACCTGCTGGAGTCACAGCCAAACAAAGTCTGCCTCACCATCACCCCAGCCCCAAAACAAAATACATGCCAGAGGGGCGTTCTGCAATGCCAGCTGCCTGAAACCTCAGGACCAGCCTGCCACCACCTGAACCTGATGTACTGGCTGAAATTGTGTCTGTTCCATTCCTACCTGTCGCCCAGGGCTGGCAGAACAATGCAAGAGACCTGGCTGAGTTCCATCTGAGCCAGAGCATCCATTACCCCCCGACCCACAGCCGAGCCCGCAGAAACCTGGCTGCAGCTCTCGGTGAATTCCAATGTGCCGCAGCAACCCCAGCTAACCCCAGGGTGGGCAGAGTGTGGTGGAGATGCCACTGACAGAGCCATGACCAATACCACCACCACCACCCCCACCCCCACTCCCCCGCCAACCCAACTGGGGGAGGAAGGGTGAGCAGAGTTCAGAGGCAACCGCCAGCAAGAGTGCTGCAGCCCCTGAAATGACTACACCAGGCAGTGGCCAGGAATAAGCAAGGGCTCCACCTGGTGATCTGAAGCCTGATAGGCAAAGACCCTCCGTTGCACCTCTGGCTCCAAAGTCATATGGTCCACTATAGGAACCACTGCAAGTAAAATGTTAAGTTTTTCTTTCATACAGGTATTTTAGCATTCATTTTATTTTAACTGTTATTTCATTTACTACTGCTGGAATTTAGTCTTTTAGAGTGCTGTATTTCACCTTGGAGGGGGCAGGTATAATGTTTTAATTTTTTTCTGCTAAGTGACCCAATGGAACCCAAGTGCAGTTTTAACACAATCTTTTCACATAAAGTTACAATTTTCATGAACATAACCCTGACCTAAAGTGAGGGCCCCCTGTACGCTACAGTTACCTTTCTCACCTTGAACGCTATCTCAGTGTGATCCTTTATTCATTCATGGGATGAGGGCATCGCTGGCTAGGCAGCATTTATTGCCCATCCCTAATTACCCAGAGGGCAGTTCAGAGTAAACCACATTGCTGTGGGTCTGGAGTCGCATGTAGGCCAGACCAGGTAAGGATGGCAATTTCCTTCCCTAAAGGACATTAGTGAGCCAGATGGATTTTTCCAACAATTGACAATGGCTTCACAGTCATCATTAGATTCTTAATTCCAGATATTTATTGAATTCAAATTCCATCATCTGCCATGGTGGGATTCGAACTTGGATCCCCAAAATATTATCCGGGTATCTGGATTAACAATCCAGCGATGATACCGCTAGGCCATCGCCTAGTACAAGGATACTCTGGTGTCTGGAAGTTCTCGGACTATTAGGACTGCACCTGATCATTTACCCTAGTACTGACCTGCAGGTGCTCAAAAAAATTCTAATCATCCTGTTCAGAGATGTTATTACACACCTCTGAAGCAGGTTGGGCTTGAACCCAGGTCTCCTGGCTCAGAGGCAGGCACAGGCACTACCAGAGCCGTTACAGTGGGTGCTCAAACCTTGGCTCATTCTGTCACCTTTAACCCAACAGTGTTGAAACTAATCATAGCCAGCCAACTGACCAATGGATTGATGAGAAAATATCTAAGACAGAGGGATTAGAAACACTGAAGCCATATTATAGAGCTTGCATTATCATCAATGCCTGAACAAAAATCTTAAACTTCTGTCAAGGCTTTGAAGACGTTCTGCAAGATTTCTGTTTTTTCTTAATCTGTTTAGAACAGGGACTATTAAGGGGAGACTTGATTGAGGTGTTCAGAATTATGAGGAGTTTTGGAAGACTAGAGAGAGAGAGAGAAGCTGCTTACACTGGCAAGAGGGATGCAAGTTTAAGGTGGTCGGTGAAAGAACCAGATCGGAGATAAGAATTATTTTTACACAATAAGCTACAGTGATCTGGAATGTGATGTCTGAAACAGTGTTGGAAGCAGATTCAGTATTAACTTTGAAAAGAGAATTGAACAAATATTTGAAAAAGTAGTATAAGGAAGGAGCATGCTGTGCGACTAATTAGAGTACTCTGTTGTAAGTGCTAGTAAAAAGGCTGAATAGTTTGCTCCATGTATGATTCTGGTTATGCCTTTCAGTATTATTGCAGCTGCAGTGTTCATTATGAGCAACAGATGGTGCTGTGCCTTCTTGATGCAGGAAATGCGTGACCAGGGGTTGCAGTAACAATGAGGATTAGAATTGTTAAATATTTTCAGAAAAAATGAAATTGCAAAGAAGGTGCTATGTTCTGAAAGGAAATGGTCACCTGTGTTTAGACAGTAAATTACTCACATTAATGTACTGGCACTAACATGAACGAGAGCGTAGTTGAAGCTGAACAACATCCCAAATGTCACTTAACCTAATGATCATCTTAATTTATGTACATTGATATATTAATGTCTTTTTTAACCCCCAGTTTATATTGGATAAATGTCTGATTGAGTGACCAGATAATTTCTTATTGGGTGCCACCTCTATAAAGTTGTCCAATGCCACTGTTAGCAGTATTTATTCACTGCTAAAACCTTCAACTGGCCTGGCCAGACCAGACTGGCCACAGAAGAATTGGAACAATCTTCCATCTTCTCCTGCATGAATGTGAACTCATCTAAAGCACTGCTTTCCATAACATTGCTAGTGCCAAGTGAGTGCCAATGCCACGGGTGGAAATTGCAAGGCCCCTAGCAGAATTGACAGCCATGGGTGAGATAGTGGAAGACTGGAGGGTGGCTAATGTTGTGCCATTATTTGAGAAAGGCTGCAAGGAAAAGCAAGAGAACTACAGATCTGTGAGCCTGGCATCAGTGGTGGGAGAATTGTTGGAGGGGATTCTGAGAGACAGGATTTATCTGCATTTGCAGAGGCAAGAACTGATTAGGGATAGTCAACATGGCTTTGTGCATGAAAAATTGTGTCTCTCAAACTTGATAGAGTTTTTTGAAGAGGTAATCAAGAAGATAGATGAAGGCAGAGTTATAGGCATTGTCTACATGGACTTTAGCAAAACCTTCAACAAGGTTCCGCATGGTAGACTAATTAATAAGGTTAGATCACTAGGGATCCAGGAAGATCTAGCCAGTTGGCTTGACAGTAGGAGACAGAGGGTGGTGAAAGAGGGTTGTTCTTCAGACTGGAGGCCTGTGACCAGCAGTGCACTGCAAGGATCGGCTGTGTCCACTTTTGTTTGTCATTGATATAAACTGTTTGGAAGAGAATAAAGCAGATGGGTAGTAAGCAGGTGATACCAAAATTTGTGGTATACTGAATAGTGAAAGAAGACTATCTAAGTGTACAGTGAGATCTTGATCAACTGGCCAAATGGGCTTAGGAATGGCTGATGGAGTTTAATTTAAATAAATGTGAGGTGTTGCATTTTGGTAGGACAAACCAGAGCAGGACTTGCGCAGTTAATGGTAGGGCCCTGGGGACTGTTGTGGAAAATAGAGACCGAGGGGTGCAAGTATATAGTTCCTTGAAATTAGCGTCACAGGTAGACAGGGTAGTGAAGGTGGTGTTTGGTATGCTTGCCTTCATCGGTCAGAGCATGGAGTACAGGAGTTAGGACATCCTGTTACAGCTGTACAAGACATTGGTGAGGCCACGTTTGGAGTATTGCATGCAATTCTGGTTCCCCTGCTATAGGAAGGATGTTATATTAAGCTGGAAAGGCTGCAAAGAAGATTTACAGCGATGTTACTGAGACTGGAGAGTTTGAGTTAAAAAGAGAGGCTGAATAGGCTAGGACTTTTCTCCCTGGGGCATAGGAGGTTGAGGAGTGACCTTATAGAGGTTTATAAAATCATGAAGGGCATTGATAGGGTGAACAGCCAAGATCTTTACCCAGGGTAGGAGAGTCCAAAACTAGAGGTCATATATTTAAAGTGAGAGGGGTAATATTTAAAAGGGGCCAGAGGGGCAGCTTTTTCACGCAGAAAGTGGTGCGACTATGGAACAAGCTGCCCGAGGACGTAGTAGAGGTGAGTATAATTACAACATTTAAAAGACATTTGACCAGGTACATGAATAGGAAAGGTTTAGACAGATTTGAGTCAAACATTGGCAAATGGGACTAGTTTAGTTTGAGATATCTGATCGGCACGGACGAGTTGGGCCGAAGGGTCTGTTTCTCTGCTGTATGACTCTAAGTCCCATTCGCCATAATTGTTGTGCTCACTGACCTACATCAGCTCCAGGTCCAGCAATGCATCAATTTAAACTTTACTTGTTTTCAAATCCCACTATGGTCTTGACCTCCCTCTCACTTTACCATCTCCAGCTCTGATCTTTGCACATTTTGCATTCTGATCTTTAATTCGTCGCCACTCCATCACAAGGTAGTCAATCTTTCAGCTGTCTGGGTCGCTTGCACTGGAATTCCCTCCTTGAACCTCTCGATCTTTCTCGTTTAGAAAGCACTGTTACAATTGCTGCTTTTCACTTGGCCATTATCTTTTGTCTGAGCAGATCCTGGTGAAATATTGCCCCTCCCTCACCCAATGACTGGGCCTGAGTGCTGCCCCTCCCTTACCCACTGACTGGGCCTGAGCGCTGCCCCTCCCTCACCCACTGACCGGGCCTGACTATTGCCTCTCTCCGTGGCTTACCGTGTTTTAAGGATTTGGGTTGTTGAAATTTTGGCCAGTTTGCAAATTGTTTGAAGGACTGTAGCATTCCTGCATTGCTTCCGGCCCATGTATTGCCCGAGCTGTGTCTGCTGCAATATGCTGTGTTCTTATTGAGTAGCAGCTACAATAACCCTGGAAAACCTTTCTGTTTGGTGTTGTACTTGCTGTGTTTGATTGGTTTGCTGTCTGAACCTTGAGTTTGTAGTGTAATCCACACAAATGTATTCAGCATTACCATCAAGGTGTGTGTGCACTTTGACAGGCTGAACTGCTCTTAACATTTCTCAAATGTAACTCGAGAGGTACTGGGGCTTTTGTTCAAGCAAAGAGGAAGCTGAGGTTTTCTGGTGGGAGAGAATGCAATCACTACCGCTGACTGTGTATTTCCCTTATGGGAAAAACATATTTCTGTTAAGACATGAAGCAGTTAATAATGAGTGGGGGAAAATGGAAAATTTCAAGTGGTTGAAACCAAGTAGAAATTCTGAGATGGTTTTGGAAAGTAGGAAGAATTAGCAAGGAAGTTAGAGTGTGGGAACACAATGGTTACAGCAAACAGCTATTGAGCAAAGGGAGTGGGGAATGGAGCAACCTCATGTCAGTGATGTGAAGATACCAGGAGGGAATATAACATCGAGATGCGAAGAGGTCACTAGGTCAGATGTGAGGCAATGGGTGAATTTGAAAGCCTGGACCTAAGTTTTGGAATCCCTGCAGGATTAATGGAACTTG